TCTAGATGCTTCAGATTGTTTCTGGATGCTTCCAGATGCTTCTTCTGGAAACTTCTGGAAGTTTCTGCATGCTTCTGGAAACTTCTGGAAACATCTGGATACTTCCTTTAATTATCAAGAAACTTTCGTGACGTTGACACGGACCAGACTTAAGAAAATAAAACAAACCAAAAAAGTTGCACTTGTTTTGTCCGCTGCAAATGGCACTTGTCAACGAAATTCTGCCTGTGTGCTGTCACCTGTCAGCTGATTGCTCATGTCATGGCATGCTATGACTCCAGACTCCTGAATTGTTTGCTGTAGTAGTATAGTTCGTTTCGTTTTTAAGACATAAAAAATTAGAAACACTTTTTAGCATCGTTTGATGTTGGTTGCAAATGTTTTGTCCAATACTGTATATGTATATATATATATATATATATATATATATATATATATATATATATATATATATATATATATATATCAGATGAAAATATAAAAACGAATATTTCTCGCCTAAAATTAAACAAACCCAAGGACTTTGGAATCTCAGCTGAGCATTTAAAAAATGAGAGCTGCAATAACAAAATGGCTCAGAAAATATTTTAATTTTTCTATTAATCATGGGCAAACCCCAAAACCGGCGTCTCCATTACTTATTATACCACTTGCTAAATCGTATAAAAGATCAATAATTAATAACTACAAATAAAAATAAAAATAACTACAGCGAGATTAGCATCATTCCAATTTTTGCAAAACTAACAGAATATCTTATCCTACTAATCTATCCAGAAATAAAAGAAGCTCATCCTCTACAATTCAGTTTCACTAAAAAAAGCTCAACTCTACACGCTGAAATTGTTATTAGTGAAACAATAAAACACTACAACAACAAAAACTAACCTGTCTATCTCTAGTTCCCTAGATGCTGAAAAAGCGTTTGACAGCTGCAACTGGGACATTCTGTTTGAAAGACTGTAAGTTAAGGTGGCTATATGGTAAAAACTTATCGATTTCCATTAAAAAAAATAATTTTTATTTTATTAGCTTTTTATAAAATTTAACTAGCTTTTAAATCATATATGATATGGTTTTATTAACAAAAAATAGTTAAAAAGTAAATTTTATTGATTAGTTAAGAAATTTACTTAGTTACGCCATAGCAACCAATATATTTATTGATATATTTGTCTAAAAACTAAATTTTAAATAGTTGTTTCTATTTTTGGGTTTGTATAATTACTAAACCATGCCTGTAGCAACGGGTGGAGGGGGAGCAGCAGGGCATTTTCCTCCCCCCCCCCCCTAACAATTTTTCAAATAAATAATTTTGAAGTTAGTTTTTAGAAAAAAGCAAACGATTACAAGTTAAGATATAAAAGAAAAAAAGGATAGAAAAGACCTAGTTTGTTATCCGTATTTTCGGCATAAGTTCCTTTGGCAAAAAGTTTTGAACTACTGTTTGACCTATTGCCCCCTCCCCTCCCACAAACACAGTGGCGGATTAAGACTTTTCAGGGCCGGGGCTACATTTTTTGGAGAAAAAATGATTAAAAAAAAAAAAGGTCTTTAAAACTATTTTGGGGTCCCTTAATCCAGCACTGCCCCCCCCCACCCCTAATTTAAATTTTGTCCCAACGGAGCTGTAAACTACTTAAAAACAAAATAAAAGTTATAAATCTGATAATGTTGTTAGTTAAAATGAGTGTTTGGAATTTTAATAGATATATTGTCTTAAGACTTTGAAGCTTGATTTCTCAATTGTATTTTTTTGTCTGACTGCGAACAGCAAATCGTTCATATCTTTTTAACCAGGTATGCAATTAACTGCAAAATTTCAGGGTTGCTTCTTTATAGATAGAACTGCAATACCTTACTAGAACTAACCTTAAACTTGTTTTCATTTGAATATATTTATATTTTACCAAAAGTTTTTGCATCGAAAATAAACTTTAAAACTAAAAATGCTGTCATTTTGAAAATAATTATTATTTTAAGTTTTTCTAGTAAGGTTTTGTTAATTCCACTATAATCCATCAGTGCGGTAAGTTTTAGCTTGTAATGCCATAAAAAAGCTGAGAAAATGTAGTTTTCTTTTTTATTGATTTTTCTGCATTTAATGCTGATTCAGCATAAAAAAAGATGAATAAATTTTTATTTCAGCATTTTAAATTAAATTAAGCCTTGCAACTAATTTTAGTATGTAAAAAAAGTTAGAAATCAAAAGAAAATTTTTTTTACCATATAACCACCTTAACCTTGCAGTTAACCTCCAACCATTACTACAAGGTCGTAATGTTGCTTCTCTCATTTTTATAAATACTATAATGGGTGCTGTTCTAAAGAACTAGCTTGTGCCACCTACTAAAATTTATTATCCTGTTACCCGTGATTCAATTTAGCCCCATACTTTTACTGCAACTGTTCCTAAGTGTTCCAAAAATTCTTATTTGTCTAGTTTTTTTCCTCGATATCAGTTCTTGTTTTCCGGATTCTTTTAACTTGAAATCTTTTAAGTCATCTGCCAATCCTTATCTTGTTTTATAAAATTCATATTTTTTTTCCAGTAACTTCCAACTCTAATAGTGGTTGCTTGCAGCCTTGTTGGAAGTAAATAAGTTAAAAAAAAAACTCATTCGCCAGATGAACAATAAAATGATATTTAATATTGTTAAATCGCAGCTGAAAAACAAAGCAGCTCTGCAACCTCTTTTAGATAGTATCAAGGGTTTGGTATTTAACAAATATATAAATAAAAAAACAAAAAATAATAAAAATTATGCCATCGTAACGTCGGATATTCAAAGTTTCTTAATTTTGCAAAAAGCGGTTTCCATTGGTGGTTCATCATCAAATTACTATTGTCACGATTTATGAAATTTTCTTTAGATTTTGAAAATTGCACGTGTTGTACTTCAATGACCCAACAAATTTTTCTTGTGTAGTTATTTGAAACAACAGAAAGCATTTTAGGGTTCTCTCTGTTTATTCTGCTATTGCAATGTTGAGTATGTTTCACTATTCCAGATGTATCCTTGTTGGCTTTTGTAACATTACTTATGCTCTCGAATTCGTGTGGATTTTTCTCGTTTCACCAATATAACATGCACCACATGTGCAATCAAGCTGTTACACTCCCGGATGACAATACGGATGCAGTTTAGACTTATTATGGTAAAGTACATTGTATAAAGTATATATAAATATCAAAACGGAAGACTGTTTTAACATCAAGTTTATGAAATCCTCTTCTAAGAACTAGGCTTTAACTCGAAACCCACAGTAAAATAACTAGATTTTTGGTATCAAGTTTTGGAGAATAAGATGGATATAGGGAATATTTAATAACTTTTAGCAATATCCTAATATTGTTTATAGAAATTTTTATTTTTATTAAAAAATCTTAAAATGAAAATGGATTTCCTCGTGAATGTTATGTTCTGAACAAATTTTGTATGCTTTAGCTGAAAAACCTTTAAAAAGACCAACTGTAATACTTGGTAAAATAGATGATTTCAGTTTTATAAGATTTTGCATCTAAATCAGTGGAAAAGCACTCAAAATCTTATCAATTGGTTAAAAAATATGAAAGATACACCTTTATAAATTCCTCATTTTGATATCAACAATTTCTACACTTTAATTAGTGAAAAACTCCTCAATGATTCTATCAATTTTGCAGAAAAACATCTTGCTATATGCGCAGAACTTAAGTCAATTATTATTCATGCAAGGAAATCTTTACTGTTTGATAATAATGAAAGAGTTGGGCTTACTGTAAGCCAAAGAATCTTTGGGATGTTCCGGTAGTATAGAAATTAACTCACAACAACAAACTTGGATTAAAAAACCCTAACTAAACAGGATTGCTTATTTTTTACTGACAAAAAAAATAAATAATTATTTGAACAGATTTCCTGTTGCAATTCTTATGAAGAAAACTACTATACAAGCTCATACAAAGCTTGTAAGCTTGTTAATAAAAAGTGTGTGCCTGTGTAATGTAGTGCTTTGTTTTAATCAACTAGTACTACAACAGCTAGTAAACATGTTTTGAAGGCCAACTAACAAATAATATTGTTAAACAGCCAATATTGTTCATTAAACTTATTATTATTATGATTGATTTATCAAAGCAATTTTGAAGTAATAGCATTACTTCATGACAAACTTCAAAAGCTGTCAACGGCTATTATGAAGTGTTACAAAATTCCACCACTTAAGCAAGATGAGGAAAAATCAGTTGAAAACTTTATGCGTAATCTTGAACAGTTTGCTAAAAAGCGTCCGGATACAACTTCTTACCATTGAACAAAATAGCAGTTTATTATTATGTTGATGGTTTTATTGCAGGAGTTTACTCGATTTCTAATCGATAAAGACTACTCAAATCTATAGAAGATAACCTAGATGTACTTTATAAAACTGTTTACCAAAAATGCTTTAAATTTAATTATTATGACTGCTATCACCGTATTACCAAATATTGCAGCAACAAAAAATCAAGCAGTTAGGGGCCATCCATAAAGTACGTACGCATGTATGGGGGGAGGGGGGGTTATCCTGAAACGTATGAATGCGTACAGGGGGGAGGGGAGGGTGTTAACGACAGCGAGTACGTACGCGGTTTAACTATCTCTCCTAAACTTCTTTATAAAAACATTGAATTTCACGTGTTTTAATGTTTTTTTATAAAAACATTGAATTTCACGTTAAAAAATCATAGTATAATATATGTTATTTTTTTTTCTGACTTCAATTACAATTGTTTTTTATTTTTCTTTATAAGTAACGAGGAGAGAAAAAATCGAGCTATAATATCTCCAAATAATGTTTTCCATTTTTTGCAACATAATTCGACTGTAGCAAGATGAAAAGTAACAAAACTGTAATCAAAGAAAACTTCTTCTGAACTCTTTTTTTAATTACGAACCTGGTTTTTCCCATTTCTCTTAAAAGGTTAATGTTTTGTTTTTAAAAAACAATAAAATAAAAAAAGGTAATATTATTATTTTTTTTATCATTAAAGTTAATATTAACATACATTAAGATTGCTAAGGACAGGCGAAGCGAAATGAACATACATGTGACAATGCATATGACAATCATTGTGATAATTGTAAAAAATAGTTACTTTAAATGCTGATGGAAACCAACACTTTTTATGATGCAATGTAACGGCAATTATCTTGAGTAAACTAAAACAAAAAAAACTTTTATGATTCTATTCGAAAACTCAATACGCCTCATTGGAAAAAAAACTTATTATTTATTATGACCAAGATGCCGCGCGGGAACGAGAAAAAATACCTTCAATTCCTTGAGTTATATAAAAAAGCATATTCAACACTTGAAAAACAAAAGCAGTATCAGCAAGCACAAGAGTTGTGAAAAATAGTAAAAAACAATGAATCCTTGTATGAAAAAAAAAATAAATGAGTTAAAAGAGAAAGTAACAAAGTCGAAAGTATCACTTATGTCATTCTGGGGAAATACCATTTCACCACCTAGCAAAAAGAAAAAAGATATCCATCCAGCGCCGTCTTCGTCAAATGAAACACGAAGTTTCCTAAATGCAACTACGACAGAGCCTGCAAGGATTGAAATTAGTAAGCTAATTTCTGTAATATTTTAAAAACTTTTTCTCTCTTGTGATTTTCTATACATTAGGCGGGGTGAATAAAAAAGAGCAATTGCTTTTTCTCAGTAACTGTTCAGCTTTGCGTGAATAAAAATTTGACCAAGATTGCTCAAATTTTTATTCACGTAAAGCTGAACAATTTACTCCAACAACGCTCAACTTTACGTAAATAGAAATTTGAGGATAATTGCTCAATTTTTTATTCACGTAAAACTGAACAAATACTGAGTAAAAGCAATTGCTCTTTTTTATTCACCCGGCCTACTGAGTTTAACCGTATTGTAAATCAAACTACATCGTACGACCTTAGAGCAGTCACAGAAATTTATAATCTTGACCACTAGACCTATTTTTCTATATCCAAAATAAATTGATTAGTAGTAATTGTCAAGAATTTATAATAGCTTATTTTTTGGCATTTTTTAATTTAGATTTAACAGACAACAAAAAAGAAAGAGAAAATCCGGCACAAGTTAGGAGTCGAAAGAAAATCTCAGATCTTGAATCACAACGTGCATCCTTGATAGTCGTACGTGATTCTGGTTTTTCTACCGTAACAAAGGAACAAATAAACACTGTGAAAGAAACCATAAGAAAAGAAAAAACAAAATTGGACAGGTAAGATAATTTAGTTATGTATTTCTTTATTTGATATTTCATTTTAGAATGCTTAACTGTCAGGTTTCTAGTAAATATCAAGAGATATATGTTAAATAATACAGAGTTTATTTATGCGTATAGAAAAGCGTCTTGGCTATAAAAACCAAACATTTTCAAAAACAGAAACTTTCATAATCTTATTGTAAATAATAATTTCTTATTTGAAATAAGAATTTGCGTACTTTTTCTTTTGCAACATTAGCCAAAAGTTGCGAAACCTTAAGTATAGAAGTTTTTATAACAGAATCAAAGCTTTACTGGTATTTCGTTTTCAGATTGATTCGTGAATCAGCTCGTCAAAGAAAACGAAGACAAAAACTTAAAGAGAGCATCGAAACTGTGTGTCAGAACATCCCTGAAGCATCAAGTGCTTTGAAACAGTTTAGTCGAAACCATACTGGACGACCGCGTCTCGAAGTTGACCAACCAGAGCTTTTATCAACAATTATAAAAATTGTGCAAAATTTATCAGCAGCTGACGAACGTCGAAGAACAGAATGTCTCCGTAGCGTCTCCACTTTAGATGACCTTCAGGAAGAGTTGACAAAGATAGGCTTTACCTTGAGTAGGAGTGGTTTGTACCTTCGTCTTTTACCACCACGTGGAAACACTTCTGAAGGAAAAAAACATGTCAGCACAGTTCCAGTAAAGCTGTTACGTCCAGAAAACTCAATGCGAAAAAAAAAATGACGATAGAATGTTTGCCAAATCATTCATTGACGACATGTTCGAAGTTTGCAAATTGTTTGGACCAAAAGCTGTGCTTTTCATTTCCAACGATGATAAAGCCAGGGTCCCATTGGGTATTGCTGCAGCAAGCCTTCAAGCGCCGTTGCTGATGCATATAAATACAAGGTCAAACTCATGGATCACGATTTTGTCGTTAGCTCACAGCACAAATTGATCCCATCAGTGTATGGCGTATGCGAAGTTAACAATACTGGAAATGTATCATACAGTGGGGACACTTTCATACGCATAAGAAGTGCAAAACACGATACATCAAATGCTTTTACACATGCTTTTGATGTTAGAGAGCTTTTTAAAACCGAGTTGGTTAAACGTAGACCAATTATGTTAATGGAGACTGATGGAGCTCAGGATGAAGCACCACGTTTCCCTAAAACCTTAGCAACTGCTGTTGACCTCTTTCGCTTGCTTAATTTAGATGCCCTTCTTCATGGTGTGAATGCAGCTGGCCTTTCAGCCTTTAACCCCGTAGAACGAAGAATGGCACCTCTTTCTCGTGATTTGGCTGGAATAGTCCTTCCTCATGATTTTTTTGGCAATCACCTTGATTCTTCTGGAAAAACAATCGACTATGAATTGGAGGTAGAGAACTTTCAAAAAGCGGCTGACGTTTTATCCCAAGTTTGGGAGAAAACCGAAAGTTATTTGTTAATAACTTTCGGTTACGTACTTTATGGATGGCCCCTTACTAAACCTTACTTTTGGTGTGGTGACAAGTTACACCCAAAAACGAAATGCTTAGCAAATAATTCTACCTGTACTAATTGTCAAAGAAAAATAAATAAAGAAAAATATAGGATGAAAATACAATACTTTTTTTGGTCATAGACGCAATTAAATATTTATTGCTTTTGAATTTTTTGTGCAATGGAACTTTCCCAACGACACTTGATTCACTTCACAAGTATCACTAATGCATCCCTCCACACTAAGAGTTAAAAGAATTTTCATTACTAATGGCTTGCAAAAAATTAAAGGCACATGTTTTTTTTGTTGACAACTTGGTTGCACCTGTATTTGTAGAAATTAACTTTTTTTTTCCCGTAACTAAGGAAAGAAAGTGCTATTAAAGTTTTGTATCAATAAAGTTAGACCTATCTCAATGAAACCGCAACGCAGCAAAAACGTTCTATTTTTAACTGAAGAAATTAATCACATGCTCAAAAAAGATGTTATTCAAGTAAGCCGTAGCCTTTGGCATGCTCTTGATATCTTCAGAATGCAAGAATCACTTAGTAATTGAAAAAAAAATTAATTTATTTGATTATTCAAGCAAAATCAACTTACACATGCCATTAGATTCATAACCAAATCCACGACTTAATGACACGTTATTTAAATAGTAGCCAATAAAGTTTTTAGTATTTTGACTTCAAATCCGCATACCATTAGTAAAAATACGATCTAAAGACTATAAATTAACTCGACTCAAAGTTAATGATAAATTTTATGAGTTCAAATGACTACCTTTGTTTGCACAAATGCTGTTCCAATTTTTCAAAGGGTAACGGACAAACTTATTTATATCTGGAAAATAACTATGGAAAACACCTATGTTTGCCATAATGATTTGATAATTGACAGAAAAGGTGACCATGAGCATGACATTAATCTAAAAGTTCTTAGAGTGGCTAAAGATGCTAATATAAAGACAAACATGGAAAAAAGTAACTTAAAAACTCATTCAGAATTTTTAGACCATGTTGTTGAAGACCATAAAACCTGAGCCTACGCGATACAAATAACGAATATGCTAGACTCACAATCCTTACAAGAACAAAATACAATGGTTGGATTCTTTGCATATTTTTAGTTACCTATTTAATTAATTAATAAAATATTTTAAAACAGATTTACACTGATGTATATGACATTAGGGTGTGTTGATTTTTCCTTTTTTATGAAATTGTAAAAAGAATAGTTTTTTTTATTTTTGGGAAATAGTATTTAAAACTTGGAAAAAATGATAATTTTGAAAAAAATAAAATATAAGTTAACATTACAAAAAATTTCTTTTTTCTTACTAGGTCAACCTGGGTATCAAAAGAAGTGTAATTAGATAAGGATTTAATAATAATATACTGTTGAGATATAAAGCCATGTTAAATCTTTTACAGACTAAACAAGAAAGTTACATATACTCGATTAAGTCTAGTTTAGTTTTAAATAAGATAAGACTTTTAATTTCCACTGTTTCAACTAGTAATTTGTTCCAGATTTTGACAATGCAAGAAACCCTCACAATTTTGATTTAAATATTTCTTAGCAGTGAATAAGTTTTATTTGTTCCCTCGAATATTTGAAGACGGACCTGAAAAATTTAAAGAGCACGAATGTTGGTATTTTCCAAGTTTTTTTTTCTATATCATAATACCATTTGTACAAGGATTTGAAAAATAATATTTTTGTTTAAAAAATTAAGATTTTAAAGTTTTCTTCATGAAACCCATCTAATTAGAAAATGCTTCTGATAATTTTCTGTTAATAAAGTTTAAAATCTTTATTTTTCTAAAATGTTTTTTTAAAATCCTTATCTAATTACGCTTCTTCTGATAATAAATTTTGATTTGTTAACATTAGGGGAAATCAATTTTTCAAAGACAAAATTATTAAGCTAAAAATTTTTTTTTTTCAAAGTTCTTATTTTAAATACTATTTCTCACAAATAAAAAACTACTTTTAGGAAATAAACAAATATTAGTCCGGTCTAAAATAAAAATAGAGACAAACTACTTCCTGAAAACTATCGACCTATTTCACTAACTTCGGTTGCGTGCAAAATCTTTGAAAAAGTTAAAAAAAATAACATCTTAAGGAACATCAACGATAACAATCTGCTCTCTAGAAATCAAAAAATCTTGCCCAACTTACTGAAACTTCTGAAACATTTGCCAACGATACTAAACTTTTTTCTAAAACTTTATCACAGACTAATTTTGTTGATCTCCAAGATTGTCTTCCAAGATGCAACCAACTATATAATAGATCAGCATAATAATGAAACGAACTACCTGAGCAAACACAACCAACTATATAATAGATCAGCAAAATACTGGAACAAACTACCTGAGCAAGTAACTTTCTACTCAACTGTGCTTTCTTTTAAAATTAGACTAAATTAAACTACTGGTTGGAGATTAATATTCTGAACGAATATTAATCTCCAACCAGTAATCTATTCTAATTTATAACACCCTGCTATAAACTTGTTGTTTATAGCAGGGTATTTTTCCTGCTCGCTGTACGTATATATTGTATGTATATTTTATGACTGCAACTGTAATAATAATAATACTCTTTTTACAATTTAAAAAAAGGAAAAGTTGCACACCCTAATCCCAGCGAACATATACTATTGGGGCCCATATTGGCTTTCCCATATGGACCCTATGTGGGCTTTATATATGGATCTATAACGGGCCCAATGTGAACTAGCCCTTGAATACAAAATTTAGTAAAAAAAGTACCTTTTTTAACTAAATTTTGTATTACAATTTTGTGCATACTATAGATTAATGGCAGTTTTTACTTGTAAGTATACATATTTATGATAATAATTATAAAAAAATATGTTTTCATTATAAAACTTAACTATAAATATTGTTATGTGTTCCTTCGTTAAACAATTATAATACTAAAAACCTAATTTTAAAAAGTTCTGTGTGTTTCAATTTCCCTAATTAGAATTTAAAAAGAGCCTTTTAATTTATAGTATTTCATTATTTTATTACATTTTGTATATTATTTTTTTTGTTAGAGATAATAGATGTATTAATCGTTATATACAGATAAATATTTAGGCACTGTTTCAGTTGCCTAACTACCAGTTGCCTACCCCTATCCTTTCATGATTGATTTCGATAAAGAATTTCATGCTGATTAAGGGGGTGATTACATTAGTGAAAGTCAGCCCAGGTTAAAACTACATCCCGGTGCCGGGTTGAGAAAATCTTCTTTTTACATAGACATTTTCATCCCGGCTTTAATTTCTTCAACCCGGCCGGGATGAAAAAGTCACTGCAACATGTCTACTTATGTAAATAACTTACAATTAGTGTTATTCATAATTCCACAGTGCAGTCTATTTACAGTACTGATATTGCAATTTAATGGTTTAGTGCTTGTATACAAATTATTAGAAACCAAACGAAATATAACACTTACTGTGTATCTATGCACACGAAAAAACAACTTGCAACGTAAGAAAAAATTTGCAAGACAAAGACTTATGAACAGAAAACCTAGAAGTTTATGGGTGGAAATAGGAAGAACTGATTTATGGTGGCAAAATATGATAGGCCCAGAAGTCCCTGAAATATGCTGAAAAAGAAATTTCCGAATGACAATAAAACAAGGTGGTAAATTAAATGCTGCAACAGTAATATTTGGAACATTTTCTGAACCGTTTTCGAAAGTATTTGCCAATTTGATTTCATGTTTGTCATGTATAAGTTAAGCAGAATATTTTGATGCAAAGACATATCATGAAGCTAAGACATTGCTTATACAATTCCTGAAATTTGACACCATTTTGAATACCTTTACCTAGCTGCAAAGTTTGGAAAAAGTGGGATCATTGCATATAGAATTAATGATAAATTGACAATTTGTATCACATGTTATTTATATATACTTTATCTGTAAAACAAGTTAAATGTGAAAGATTGTTTTCTAAGTTAAGTAGACTGAGCAGCCATGGTGCAGTGGTAGCGCACTTGCCTCAGAAGCAAAGGATCAGTGGTTCATTTGACTTCTTGGGGCACCTAAATTAAAAATTAAAAAAAAAAAAAAAATTTAAAGTAGTTATAAATAATGACAGATTTGCAAAATTCTGTCGCTAATTAACCACTAATTAATTTAATTTACCACTTGGAGTCATAAATGTTGTTGTCTGTCAAGAATAGTATTTTTGAAAGCCTTGAGTGTAATAAAATCATTCAAAGATATGCATTTTTGTCCTCTGAATTTAGCAAACTGTTTAAAGAATAGATTTGCTATATTATGCACATCACTCTGTATATTATTAATTCATTATAAATAAACTAGTTTGTGATATCAGTCATCCTGACTGCCTTCAATTTGGAAAGTTATGGTTTTTTATTTTTTGGGAGGGCTCCTTTAATATTTGACTGGCTGGAAAAATATTTTTAGCCAGTCCGTCACTGTTAATAGCATTATCTAGAGTTATAAAGCAACCTATTGAACTTTTCTATCTTAACAAAATTAGTTATAATAGCAAAATTAACATTTTATTAATACAGCTTTTTTAAGATCATTAACACAATTAACACAAATTAAATTAACTTTAAGTTTTTTTAATATCATTGTTAAGCAAATATGTATCCAAAAACTAAACTATCTAATAAGTATTTTGTGCTGCGATTTAGATAAATCAAAAAAACTGTTTTATAGAATCCAAACCATAATGTAAAGCTGACATACAATAAACATATTAAAAGTTGCCTAAATAAATACTTTTGATACAGATAATAGTTGCCTACAAGTACGAATAATAGTTGCCTACAAGTACAAATAATAGTTGTCTATAAATACATTCAAAAGATACATACTTAATCCAAAATAAGTACATAAAACTGTAAAAAAGACAAACAAAAAAGGAAATACATATTAAATATGTGTAATTTTGCTAACAAAGTTTTGTTTATTATACAAAAAAAAAAGACAGCAATAAATACGTATTTGTATAAGCAATAAATACGTATATGTTCAAAAGAAATGTATTTAATACATACTAGCCCAAAAAAAAAGTACTGTAAAAAATACAAAAGTACTGTAAAAATACAAATACTTATGTATTAAATGCATTTAACTTTGTTTGTACTAGCAAAAATTTTCATCCAACACTTTAGTTTTGAATATCTAGTTAACAGATTCAGCTTAATCCACCATTGAGACAGCTGGTGTTAATGTGGTATGAACTCATATTGACACAAATACATCAATTAAAAGAATGCATTGATTGTAAGGAGCAAAAAGAAGTAAAATATTTCCAAAACGAAAGAAGACTTTGTTACTCTATTTATTATTATTATTTTTTTCAATATTTGATTGTATGAACTGCTATAGAACTGCAGTAAACTGAATTTGTAAAACTGAACAGCTGAACTAATGGATACAGAAATGAAAGGTATGAATATAATTGATGAAGTAAGTATGACCACGCCTTATTCATGAAGTAGTATAAAAATAGCTCTTATTTTTTATCAACACAACATATTAACTGTCTAAAGTTATTGATTTTATTCTTGCAGATTGGGGGCCAGTAGGCATAGTAACTGCTATTGTTTCTTGGTGTTTCCCATAAATGTTACTCATATGAAAGTAATATCCTGGATTAACAAAGGGAATTATTGTTATCTTGAAGCCAGCAGCCAGTATCTTCTACAAGGTTGAGGCTTTGCTTTTTTAAAATATGTGCTGAAACTGGTTCACAACGAGGTGTTTTGAATGTTGTAGAGATAGAAAACTCGGATGTTTACTTGCAACACATCCTCATGTGGACAAAATTGGATTCACTGGTCCTACTAAGGTTAATTATTCTTTTTATTTTAAAGTTAGAATTAATGAAAAATCTCAAGCAAGGCTATAGTTTTATATTTTTTTAAGAAACTCAAGGCTTGGTAATGTTGCAAGCACATATTTTTTTAAACTATTTTTAAATTCACAGATACATTTTTCTAGTATTAATATGAAGTGTCACATATATCAACAAAGTAAAACAGAAAAACATTAACTCAACTACAACATTAACAATTGTTTTATGAATAATACTAACAATTTTATAACTTCTTCATTGAAAAAAAGTCACAAAAATAAAAAAGAATTCATGTTTTGAGTTGATATAGTGAAGTCATAATGGTGTATCAATGACGCATCTAAAACATTTGATGCTCAGGCCACTCTTCAAACTGTCACTTTTTTGAAGCCAATCAAAAGCCACAATTTGATTTTATAAATTAGCAAGCAAAAAATAATAGTAATTGAGACAAACTATTGGAGGGAAATTTGTTTCTTTAATTTAAGCAGTAATAAAGAAAGCCCCATATTTTGATATACCTATAAATGTAATTTTGTCAAATGATTTATTTACCTTATACATATACATCTACTAATATAGGATGTATTATACCGTATATATATAAAAGCAGGTCAAAAAAAGTGAACATAAAGGATTGAATACCCCATTTACCATTAGACTGATTTAGCCTTAGGAGATGTTGTTATAACAATTGAAATTAATGCCTTAAAAAATAAACTTTTTTAAGGAAAAATCGATGTTCAAGAATATTTTGATCTTTTCCTTCAACAATATAAAAAATTTGTGCTAAGTGTGCCGCTACATATAGCCAAATTAGCTGAAAGTTTCTTCTTTTCTAAAATTTTAAATTCTTGCCAGAAGTTTTTCTTATTTTAAAAAAATTAAAAAAAAAAAAAAAAAAGGCTTTGTCTACAATTTGAAATTCATTGATGATATTGAATTCATTTTGAATTGAAATTGATTTAAACTGAAACTATTAAATACTGAAATCAAAAAATATTAAATAACAAAATTACCTCATTTTATTGGTTAAATCCTGCTGCTTAGGAGATGGAACATAATCTGTCCTACTCCACTTTTTACGATTAAAGCGACCTCGTTCAATAAAGCGTTCAATTTCACTCATTTTTAAACATGTTGTTGAATCTGGCAATCGTTTACTGAGATCAATTAAATAAAAACAACCAAACCGTGATGATGCCTCAAGAGAAATGTTCTTTTTACACGGAAACTTTGACATCTGTGTTGTAATGCAAGATTGAAATCTAATAAATTCTTCATCCAACCATGAAGGTAATGGCTTCAAATCAGTTTCTAGATACAAAGCATCCTTACTATTGCATGCATGTAATAGTTCAAATGCCCCTAAACTTGCTTCAAATTTTAGTGTTGGGTTAAATGTGAGTGTTTTTCCCTCAACAATTAAAAATGAGGAACCTTCCATAAAATATTTAGATCTTTTTTTGGGTAACACGCCCAAACTTAAAGTTTTATTAGTGTGAATAAGATCGCGTATTTCTGATCGAAGAAGATTTATAGATAAACTGGAACCCACTGCATTAACCAAAAGATTTTTTGTTCCTTCTTTTGGAGTTACAGAAACAATTGCACCAGTTAGTTTCGAAAGTCGGCTTGAATGAAAGGAGCAAGCCTGCATTGCATAAGACACAGATAGTGGCAATTTAACAGAATATTCTATCGTACTTTGTTGTGACATCAAAGCATGTAGGAACAACTCATTCATATTTTTTGTTGCTGATATTGAATGAAATGCACTCTGTGCAAAAATTGATATTTTTTCAGTTACTTTGGAATCGATTTTAACTTCTGGAATATTAGGTGCTGGCCAACAGAATACTAAATTACCTTTCAAATTTGCTGCTTTTCGAAAAAAAGTGTGCAACATTAATCCTAGTTCATGTTTATCTCTTTTTTTAAGTTTGTCTAAGCAGCTATAGAGATAAGAAATTGAACTATACCGATTGTTTTCAACAAAATAGTTTTCGTAATTATCTGTATTCATTAAATCAATAATAAGTGAGTAAAACTCAGCTGTATCCATAACTCCATTACAATTTATAGCACTTTTTACTAAACCAACAACTCTTGCCCAGCTCACTAATATCCAAAATAAAGGTAAATACAAACAGTTACTTCGGTAAAGAAAATAAATATACTGTGTTTTAAGTTTACCAATCAAATTCATTGAAATGTCGCAACTGACTGCACTATATTCGTCGCCTATCACACATTTAATAATAGGAATTTTGGCATCTAAAATTTCCCTTTTTGAAGATACCACTGAATCTAATGCTCGTGAAATCACAAACTGTAAAATATGTTTTTCTTTCTCATCATGACAAAATTCATTCATGCGTAATCGCATTTGTAAAGGAAATATGTCACTTGAAAAAACACACTGCTCAGCAAATATACATATATCAACATCTGATTCAGGTTCGCACACATATATTGATGTTGAGCCATATGTAGATACTTTAAATGCTTTATCAATTCTATATTCTTTTTTCACAAACCTATAAGAACAAAAATAAAAATTATTCAAAAGATAAAACAAAAATGAAAAATATACAAAACATTTAACAAAATATATAACAAAAATTAAAATTACACTAAACGTTAAACAAAAAATTCCAATTACAAAACTATTGTAATTGGAACTCCTATAATTACAAAGAAATTCTTCGACCCCTACAGGGTTTAACATTTATATTTGAACTCCTATAATTAGAAAACTTTTGTAATTCAAACATATTTTAAAAACTTTTGAGGATTCAAATTAACCAATTCTATACTAAGCGTTTAATAAAAGGTTTAAAATAAAAATGAAAACTATAAAAAGGTAAAATTAAAGATATAACGACAATGTAAATTATAAAAAAGATAAAACAAAAGGTATAACAACAATGTAAACTATACAAAAGATAAAACAAAAATGAAAATTATACAAAAAATAAAAACAAAAATGAAAGTATAGAAAAGGTTAAGTTTAGAACTTAAAAAAAGTTAATCTTAAACTCTTTAAATACCGCTGAGTAAAAGTATTATAACTATGTATTTTAGAAAAAAATAAAAAATTTTATCATTTTTTTTTTTTTTTTTTATCAAAACTTTAGCCTCCTACCCTCCTTCAAAAAAAAAAAAAAAATTAAATAAAAAAAAGATAGAAATAAACTCTTTTATTCAACTACCGTTTACTGTTGAAGAAAGACAACACAAAGCCACTTAAATCAACACAAGAACAAAAAGACCGAATGGTTATGGCACGAAATATAAAACTATTATAATAATACATTATAGAAAAAAACAAAAATTTTCTTTTTTCTCTCTTTTTACGGGTTGGCCAGCCAATAGTTAGTTCAAAATTCCACAATATATCCAGGACTTTTCTAGGTAAATTTTTGGGTTTTTTAAGGATATGTTGATCTTTTCTCAACCAGAAAAAAAAAACAAAATATGTTGATTTAAAGAAAATATAAAAACAAAAAATAACTAAATAATTAGTAGATGTTCAAAATACTGATAGTAACATTAAACAAAATTTTTTTTTGCATTACAAAATAATACATAACTATCAAATTCAGTTTAAATCTCTGTAAAATTAATAGTAAAAGATAAAAACTATTTCAGAAAAAAATACCAGGATTTTCAGGAACTATTGCTAAAAGGGGTGTTTTTCCAGGACTTTTCCAGGACCACCCAGTTTTACCTAAATGTTAGCCCCCTGCCCTTCCCTCCTTCAAAAAAAAAAAAAAAAATGCAAGCTTAAACAAATTGCCTCTAACATTATTTATATTTTATATATATACGTTCTTTTAATTAAAAGAGTATCTGACCTAACCAAAACCCTCAGTTGGATGTATCTACATGATGATTGTAATATTAACTATGCCTAAATCTTACTTAGTCGGTGTGTACACTCTGTTACATCCTGTTAACGGTTACAGCCTGTTAACAGACTGTTACGGCTGCTTGAGCAGTGCATGCTCTGTGCTTTGAATTTATATGGTTCAAGTGCAGAACTTTATTTAGTTGGTGCACAAAAATGTGCAGCAACAAAAAAACAATCTTTGTGCAATAACTAAAAAAATAAAACATTACTATACCGAGAAAAGAACCTTGAACCCTCAGTTTACTAGCTGCAGGCAGAATCTAAGTGACCACGCTTACATTACTAGTTCCAAGAAAATTGTATATATAAATTAATATTTTTGAATGTATAATATGTTATTATTTATTATATATTTTATATAAATAATATTTTGCATATATTAAATATCGGAAAAATAGATTTTTAAAATTGGTATCATATTTAGGAGAGCGATGTTAATTTATGCAATTTTACACTGAACTATTGGGGTGAAAAAAAACATTAAACAGACTAAAAAGTACTAAATAATTAATTCAAAGAAGCTCAGAGAATTATAAACATTATTATATTTAAAATCGTTTTGTATTTTGTAAAATTTTGCACCCCCTCCCATTGTCTCTACAAAAACTTGAAAAAAGATTTTTATGGGGTGGTGGGAGGTTTGGTACAAAAATGTTGCATAATATTGGGGGAGGGGTCAATCAAGTGTGACAGATGCGTTACAATGGGGGAGGGGTTCAAAAAAATGTCAAAAACTGCGTGACGTAATTTATGTACGACCCCTTATAAAATAGTTTTCTATCATAGTTGTTCCTTTTTCTGTTCTCTTGCGGTTTGCAAAAACTAGCAAAACTTACTGTTAGATCTGTTTGTCTTTTAATGAAAGTTCAAAATCAATTATCACCTGAGAAATTATTATTAAACTGAGGTATAATAAAATCTTTTTTTGTCTAAATACCATACCATAGGGATGCTATTGATTTATCAATAAATTGTTTATTTTTTGATTTGATTAATTATTCGATTAATTAAAAAATTAGAACGATTAATCGACATTTTATATTAGGATTAGGTTTTATATAGAATTTTTTAGAATTTTTCCATCTTTATACACCGGATCATCGACACTGGATTTAGTAATTGTTTCATGTTAAACCACAGAACTAACTGAACAAGCCATAATTTTTAAGAACATCTAGCATATTTACATTTATTACTTATAGAAAAACTTTTATCCTCATGCTTTACATCATATTGGTATGTTGATAATAATCTTTTCGAATGTATTTTTGTGGGATTGTGTGTTCTGTTTTGAATTATAGTGTACCTGCAAAGATTTTTATAAATCATATTATATTTTTAGGATTTGTCCCACAATATATTCAACAGCAATGATATATGGGCGCAGCCAAAAAAAAGAAAGTCAAAGGTTTGGGTTCATTTATTAAAAAACATAAACGATTCACAAACTTTAAAATGTAAGCATTATGACACCGAATTTAAATCTCATTTATCAACTACATCCTTAACATACCACATGCAACACAAACACAACCTTCTTTTAGAGCCTGCTTCAGGTAGCTCATTAGTTACACAAAGTAATTCTCAAAAGATAGTTTTATCCTATTTTAAAAAACAAAATTCTTGTCCTGGGTTAATTCTAGCCAAGTTAACAGCTTTAGATAAAATACAATTTTCATCTTTGGCAAATAGTGAAGAAATTATGAAAGGATGGAAAGCTCAAGGTTTAAAAATGCCATTAACAAGACAAGGAATTAAAAATGTTACACTTAAGTATGCTGACCAGATTAGAGAAAAATTAAAAAGTAATTTAAAAAAATGAACAGAGAATAGTGAGAGATTTTCGTTATCATTAGACGAGTAGAGCTCCAAAAAAAACAGACGTTATATGTGCATGAATATCCATATAAAAAATGGAAATGTGAATAGTCTTAGTATGATAAGAGTAAAAGACACAATGCCAGCTACCAAGGCAGTTGAGATTGTTATTAAAAAACTAGCTGAGTTCAATTTGCAGCTCAAAAACCACATTATCGCTGTTATAACAGATGGATTGTCTGTATGAAAAAAATGGGACAATTGATGAGTATTTATCATCAAATTTGTCATAGTCATGGCATACATTTGGCTGTGGTAGATGTTTTATATGCTGAACATACAAATTTAGTAGAATCTAATGACAAAAATTTTAAAACAGAACTTGATAACTCTTCAATAAGCAATGAATGTGATGATGATGAGAAAGATTTTAAAGAAAATGAAGGACAAACTTGGCTTGAAGTAGCTCCTGACAATTATGAATTAAAATTAATAAAATTAGAAAAATAGATCGTTTTTTTAGAAAGTCATCTGTAATGATTTTCTGTAAGAGAGTGTCAATAAAAACTGAAAAAAGGAAAAAGGGATGATAATTGATGCAAGTACACGCTGGAACTCAATGTTGGCAATGTTAAAGCGGTTCTTGGAGTTGAAAGAAATAATAAAATCAGTACTAATAAATTTGTCAGTTACTCATTTATATCCAACAAATTGTGAAATTTGTTGGTTGAGGAAATTGTAGAATCATTAAAAATCATTGAGGTACACTTGCATTGGGAAGGCCAGATTGCGATATAATCGATGCTTTAAAAATATTTGAATTTTTATTTTCTAAATTGAAAACTCAATCAAGTGAGACTAGTAAGAAATTCTACGAATCAGTAAGTAGGAGAATATTTGAACGTAGAATTATTAATGTAGAAGGTTTGTTAGAGTATTTAGATGATCCTAACTCTTACCTAAAAGCACTTACACAAAAAAATGCAATACTACAACAATCAACAAGAAACAAAATTGCTCTAACAATTTGTTTATTTCTCATTGATGAGAATGTTAATGAAAATAGATTAAATCGAGAAGATGAGGCTACACATGAATGTACTGAAAACATAACAAATAAAGAAGAATTGAATCATATTTTGTCAAAAGAAAACACCAATCTTTCAACTGTAGTAAATTTTCAAAATAACGTTTTATCTTTTAAAAAAGAAATAAGCATTTTTGAAAAAATTAACAAAAGAAGTGGAAGTCATTTATTTGAACAAATGTACAATGCTTTTTAATTTACAATGTTAACTATTTCACCATCGTTGGTCGAAGCTGAAAGATGTTTTAGTGTGGCAGGACTTTTTGTAACTAAATTGAGAACTAAATTAGAGTGTTTTTAAGAAGATAAAAAAAAAAATGAGTAGCCTCCTCGACCTTAATGGCCCCCTCGGGCCTTATGGAGGTGAATAATTAAAAAAAAAAAAAAAAAAAAAGATAATGTATGAGAATATTTTTAACTTTATTTTTCAAAGGTTTAGCAGCAGATTCAAACATCATTGCAAGATGAAATAAATTTTTTGGGGTCAAAAATAGGGGAGGAGTCAGGATTTTATGACGTCCTTTTCAAAAATTGGCTAAAAAATGGCTAAAATAATTATCTTACTTGGGAAGTTTTTGAAATTTAGATTGCTAGACTTTAATTTAGAATTTTTAAGAACTGCTAAAATAACTTTAAAAAATTCAGTTTTTGTCTTTTCCTGTCTCTTAAAAAAGTTTACTTGCATTATTATTAGCCTGTTTTAAATCTGTGATCCAATTTGAGCAATTATAGAGCTTCACTGTAAACTGGGTTTGGTTATTCCATACTTTAAATGGGCTGTCTATTTTAAATCACTTTTAATTAGAACTCTAAGATATTCCTGCTTTCGATAGGGACACAATTGAGATACTATAGTTCTGCTTTTGAATGTTAAAGAAATTTCAGTATTCCGACCTGAAATATAGTAATTCTGGTCGGAACCAGAATGAATTTGCTGTCATCAGTAATGAGCTTTAGCAAGTACTTAAAAAAGCATGTCATCATAAATAATACATAAAGTAGTGAAATAAAAAGAATTCTTGCGGTACACCACAATTTAAGATAAAGAGATTTATTTCAGTCTGAAAATTTTTCATTCATTTTATAAATAAATTTAGTTATTTAAACTTAATTTCTAAATAAATTATTCAAGCTATCAGCAACTGTCGAACAATCTTGTGTTTTAATGCTCAAATTTCCTGGAGATAGAAAAAGGAGATCAGTTGCAAGAAGCATAGCTAATATAGCTGTGCATCTTATAAAAAATACCTTGGAGTTTTTTACTAATATGCAATGGAGAAAAATTTATATTGTGGATAGAAAAGAGGAATACATATGAAACTTCAAGACAAACATCAAACAAGAGTATTTTAAATTCATTGTAGTTAGTTAAATTTTTTTGAAACTAATTGATAGAAGACTGTTACAATAGTATAACATCAGATTTACATGAAACCAGGAGCATGAAGCCATGAACTGTATTTGAGCCATCATTGGTGAGACATGGCTGAGTATTGATGTAAACAATGAAATAAATAAATACAGCAGAATTGAGCTGATGATGCCCGATGATACTGCTAAACTTAATAACTGTGTAGAGTTTGATGTTATAATACAAACAATGAATTGATGACAGCCATTGCAGTGCCTGAACTCATTTTTTAGTGATCCGTAGCATCAAAAGATTCAGAAATGTACAAAGGAAAGGTGGGTATATCATGGGTGGGTATATCGTGGTTATATAGGTATTGTGGGTATCATCAATCTTTGACAGAATGATATAAATCTTTAACTGTTAAAAAAGACACAGCACATAAAATAGTCTAGATAGTAACAACAATAATGAAAAGTATTAAAAATAAAAATAATATTTTAAATTTATTTTATAAACAGACAACAAAAAAACTTCTCCACATCATTTCTCAGAAACTTTCATGTTTTTTGATGAAATGACTGACTCTGAAAAGTTGTTCCTGTCAAAATATTTCCATATATTTTCTTTTGTTATAGTGTTTAATGCTACATATTTCATGATTCTTTTTTATCACTATTAATTATCAAGTCAATGCATAATGACCACATTTCTAACTTAAGGTTGATTTTGTATACCAAAGATTACGAATGCATTGTCAGTTGTTTTTAAATCCAAAATATTATTGCATAGCTTATATGATGCAGTTGGCTCTCAAATTGATTGAAGTGATAAAAAAACATTTAGTGAATCAAAAATCTTTGAAAGCCTGATTTGTACAACAATAACTGTTCATACTCCAAATTATATTGGGATAGTTAAAATCCTAAGTAATCATTGCACTATCAAATTCTTTTACATTTAATTTATGTCTAATCTATGTTTCAAATATTTTATTTTTTCTTAAAGCATGTTGATTTTGTGCATAACATTAACTACTGGTGGTTTACAAATGCACCTCACTAAAACAAAATAGCTTTGTATGTTTCTTAAATGCTAAAGGTATTTAACAAAGCAAATTTTTTAAGGGTTTTGGAAACTGTGTTAAGATTTGTTATTAGCTTAAAAATAGATGTCTGTAATAAAGTTTAATTTTGAAAGAGTTGCCATTTTATTAAGTGCTTATAATCAAATTTTAGTCAAAGCTTTTCTTTGTGACAAGGGCAGAACTATAGTTGGGGTAATACAACAAGCTTAATTTGATACCAGGAGCTGATCCATAATAAGGGTAATAGAGCAAAATTACATTGATACTGTTTTATTTTAACAATTTTTGATGGTAAAATGTGTTTATTGATGGTAAAATGTGTCTATTGATTCACCTAGTTTAATGGTTTTAATTTATATTTATCTGATAAATTTTGATTTTTAATTTTGCTTGATAAATCTAGAGTTTAGAATAATAGAAGGATAAAACTGTGACATTTATTTTTCTTTAGAGCAGAGAAATATTTTTTGATTATGGTTGTACATTAAAAAAAAATTTCTGTGACAAAAACTTTTTTTTAAATAATACATTTTACAAATAAGTTTCTTATTTATATTTTCTTTATTTGTTTGAATTTTGTTAGCCAGTTTGAATGTTATTAGCCAGTTTGTAAAATATTAATTAAATAAGTGGAAATAAAGAAAATTAGGAATTATTAATTAATTTTGCTTTAACACATTTTTGCTAATACAATAGAGTCTTATATGGTAATGCAACACAATTGCAAATATAAAAATATAATAATTAAATACATTAAAACACAAAAATAAGGTAACAAAATACTACATGCTGCAGTAATCCTTAAATAAGTAGTTGTCTCCAAAATTCTAAATAATATAGCTTAAAAAACTTTTGACTGCACATAGTGGTCCAGTCCAATAATTTGTTTTATAGTAAAAATAATTAAAAAATTGAATTATAAATGTTATGTGAAAACCAGGTTTAAATTTTTAAGGTCTGTAATTAAATAAAAAAAATGCCTAAGTAGGGTTTAAAGTTCAAAAATTGAAAAAGATTACTTTTTTTTGGGCAAAAATTACATTTTTGTAGGCAAAAATTGGTCTACCAACTTTTAGCTTCAAAGTTGAAGAAGACAATTTTTGCCTCAAAAGTGATATTTCTGGGTTATTGTGCTGCGTGTCACGGTAAAAAGATGTGAAATATTTTTTCACTAAACCAATACCCATAAAAGTTTACGAACAAATCTTACTAACAAATGGATAAACAGATCATCATAATGAAAAAAATATGAAACTGTAAAAAAATGTAGTAATTTTACAAATTGAAAAAAAAATACCTTTGTATTGCATGATCTATAATATTCAAAACTTTTGCTTTATCAGTGATGTTTTTCAATAACAATGAAGAACTCTTGCTAAAATAATTAAGAGCAGAAGATCCAACATCAAGGAAGAAACTACTTGGTCTTTGGCTGTGTATCTCTTGAAATAGTTCACAAAGCACATCACTGATAACCCAAGGAAAACTTAAATATTTTTTTTTATGGCCAACAATTTTAATAGCATTATCATAAACCAAATTGTACCACGCACAAGCTTTTTTCATTTTAGAAACATCATCAATATTGCTAAAAAAAATTTCACGAAACTTTTTTACCAACTGTTTATAGCATTCAGCTATTGACTTTGATGCCTTTCCTTTGTCAGCTTCAAAATGAGTACTCCAATTATATGTGGCACAACCTAAAACCACATCAGCTTCAACTTTTAAGTCGAACCATGACATTATTGCTTTAATGTTATGAGCATAACAAGAATAAACTTCTAAAGCATCTTCTAAGTACTCATAATAACCTGGAATACGAAGGCTAGATCCAGACCCTTTTTCTATATTTACTTTACTTGTTAGATCAAAGCTGAAGCCAATAGATTTACATTTACGATAGAGGTTACCAAGAATTTGATTAGAACTGTAGCAGTCATTTTTTTCCATAAAGTCTGGAAAACCCTTTGTTTTAACTAATAAGATTGCCTCTTCAGGAACTTCTGGAAGTATTCCGGTTTTAGGATAGTCAACAGCTGCAGCTTGAGATTTAGCTAATTCAACAGCTAATGGATTACGAGCTCCATTTTCAATAAAATCACAAAGTGCAAGATGTTTATGAGCGATTCTGCCTAAACTGTCATTCTTCATAAATTTCATAAAAAAGTCTACAATAACATTCTCATCTGTAACATCAACATTTTTAATCAATGGATCAACTAAAGTTAGTTGAGAGTAGTCAAAACGAGGATATATTAAATGTCTTGGTGGAATAAGTTTCGTATCCCATATAATTGCAAATTGATCACCATCAAGATCACCACCACTGCAAGATGCAGCAAAAGAACATTCACAGTTCATTACAGGAAATACAACAACATTCACTAGATAACGTAAAGAAGGTTCATCAACACAGCATACAACTCTCTGGTCACCTGGATGTAAACAAGGATTTCTGTACACCAAAGCATCACCTATTATAATCTCTTTCTTGTTGTCATGATCTATTTGTAAAAATATTTCTCCTTCTTTCAAAATGCCTATTGGATCAGCTACTCCAACCACCAAACACCCATTTTCAACAGGTATACTAGCTCTCTTTAGCAGATCACGCACTTTAAGGCGATATATTCCCTGAAGCACGGAAAACCAAAATTTATCATGATGAAAATCAATTATAGATAACCTATCTATATTTCCTTTCGGAAAATATTCAATCAGAGCTTTTCTAGCAGAATTTTCATTATTAAACATATCAGAAACTTTCTCTAATTCATGATGCTGTAATTGGAGTAAAACATTAGCAAAATAGTTTGAATCAACAGCATTAAAAAGAGTGATAACTTCTCTATTCAGGATTAAAGAATTATACTTAGAGTAAGAAGTAATGCAAAAACTTTTGTCATTGTTTTCAAACTTTTTCATGGATTTGCGGAAAGCAAATGGTTTACTTTTTAAATCTGGATCATCGTCATAGGTGCATACCAGTATTCCTTTTATACCAGAAAATCTAATCTGTAGAGCTGAAGGTTGATTAATTTTAAGAATATTTGCAATGTGAGCACTCATTGTCAGAGAAATTTTACCACATCCATCAGTGGTTAGTTCACCATTCTTTGCTTTTAGATCACTTACCCAAGAAATCATATCAGGACTTATTTCAAACAAACTTCCCATATCAGCTGTAGCATAAAGACCCAGGCGAGACATATACTTTGCAGCACTTTTAAATTGTTCAGGTGACGGAACAATTTTACTTCTCAGATTTTTGACTTCATTATTAGAAGGCACTTCAATAAAATAGGCTTTATGATCTCTGAGTTGACTTGCTGATGTTGCTAAAAAATAATATCTAGACTTATTCACCATAATCCCATTTTTCATAAGAAAAGAAATGTAATCATGAGTATCAGAGTCATGTAGTTTTGACATATCTTCGTCTCTAAAAGAAACTATTAGAATATTGTAATAACTAAGTAAACGTATCATTCGGTTTGATGCAACTGGAACTGGAGGCAACATCACAATTCGAGTTGGTGTTGCAACAACACGTTTGATCAATACACAATTCGAAGGAACTACGTCTTGAAGAATATCTCTTTTTGAAACAGGAATTTTTAACATATGATTAAACTCGTTTTCATAAATTGTTAAAAAATAATCAAAGTATGAGTATTTATTTAAACGACTGAAAACTGCTTTTAATGCTGCTTCACATAACTGAAGAACTTCGCTTCTTTGAAGCTCTGAACTTATTTGATTGTCCACATGATTTTTTATATCATTAAGAGGCTCAGTTGGTAAACAAAGCATTCTTGAGTCTTTTATACAACCTAGGTACCATTCTATAGACTCTGGTAGTTGCTTGCATAAATCTTGGTAACAATAATTTTCAGGCTGAACACAATTTAGTTTTACATAAAAATGTGGAATGGGAAACAGTTTTGGAGAGAGTAGTACCTGCTGAACTTCTTGAATTACATTAATTGGATAAGTTATTTGAAATAATGAGAATTTTGAAAACATTTCCGATAAATCGGAATCAATAGTTCTTATTTTCTCATTCCCAGGAGTATTTGACCAAACAAAAGGTGGATGCAACAATACCAAGTTCAACGAAAAAAAATGTTGGTCAATGGAAAGCAAAGCAAAGTATCCTAAAGATGTTAAGGGGATATCAATAAACTTTTTCTTATCACAAGTATTATCATCAAAATAAGTTAGTGTCACTAATTTCTCAGAAAATAAACAGCTGCTCACGGTAAACTCTTTCACAATAGCACAAGTGGTTTTATTTACAAAATATCCAATTCCAATTTTAGTTGAACTAATATTGTTACTACTCTTGGTTTAATGCTAAACTGAGTCCATGATGGCCATGATGGACAGCTATCATCAACTTTTATATTGAAGTTGAATGTTCTACAGAATTGCAAATATGTCTCAAATGAATTAGATATATGTGTATGTGTTTGAGCACCTACTAAAAATACTAAACATTCTTTTGTAAACACTCGCTGGGTACAAGACTTCATTCCTGCAGTGGTTTCAAGAATTTCAAGATTTTTCACTTTAAACTCATTGCATTCTTCAAGTACTTCGAAAATTCTTTCTTTTGTTATAGAATTGCTTTTCTTAGCTTCAATATAAATTAAAAATGAGAAACTTCCTTTATCTTTATCTCTGTAATCAAAGTTATTGTTCATACCAGATGAATCATTGATAAATTGCTGTTGGACTTTTTTTATAATATCCTTAGATAGACTTGAAAATAGACAACTTGACATTGAAAAACTTTGTAGAACATGATTTAAGATTTCTTCTTGCTTCATTATATCAGAGGTTAATTTACTTTCGTATGTACTTTGAAATGAATAAAATTTGCTGCCAGGTTTTCTAGCTCTTCCTCTAACCTGAATAAATTGAATAAGGTTACGAAATGAAGTAAAAGAAATAACTACATCACACTCAGCAACATCAAGTCCTTCTTCTAAAACTGAAGTACAGACAATTAAATTACATTCTCCTGATGCAAAATCTCTGATGGCAAGCTCCTGTTCACCTTCCCATGACATTCCATCATATCCACCATGACCAAATACCATTCTAGGTTTAAAAATGTCAAAATTGTCACATAAAAACTTGTAAAGCGCTCTGGCAACATTTCTAGTATGAACAAAAATGAGTACTTTTGAGGTCTTCTCCAGACTTCCTAAAATTGCAGATAACTTTTTCAAACGTACAGAATCTTCATGAACATTTTGATATGCTTGACTAACTTCATTTACATAATCTTTTATAACATTATATGCAGTACGAACTCCCATAATAGCACACATTTCTAATGATTCTATATATATATAAGCAAGCTTCATTTCTAAAGCTAATTGTGAACTTGTATAGTTACTTTCTAATGTACGCAACTCTCCAATAATCTGGTAAGAATTTAACAAACTGCTTTGTAATTCATTACCGGAGATTTTTAAAAGAGAATATATGTTATTTTTAAGATGTTCATTAAACATTCTAACTACTTGATTTAAAAATCTTGACTGATTTTCTGAGTATTCAAATTCCAGAGTTATGATATTTTGCTCTGATTTCGATGGTACAGGACAAAATATCTTTGCTGATGGAAAATTTAGAAGAAATTTTTGAAGTCTATCTGTAGCTTGAGTAATAGTTTTTGCATTAATTGGAGAGGCAGTCAAACCTAAGATCCTAGGCTGATTTGGTAATGGCATGCTAGTAAAAATTTGAAGAACATCTAAATACTTATGACCACCAGTTGCATGATGACACTCATCAATTACTACCACACAAAACATATTTGCATCAATGTACTTCTGCTTGACCATGTCATAAAATGCACCTGCAGTGATAATTAAAACATCAAAATCTCCATCATTTATACGCTTAATAGTATGTTTGGTCTTATTTTCACCACACAAGCTTACTACTCTTAGGTTAGTATCACTTGAAATTGAAGCAGCATGTTGAAAAACAAGTGGAATTCTATCAACAATCATTAGACCCATTTTTTGGGGATTTATTTCACACATTCGTCCTATCAACATTGAAGCTATAAGTGTTTTTCCAAAACCCGTTTTAAGTACAACAATTAAGTTACTTTGGAGTGCCTCAATAAAAGCTTGTATCTGGTATTGTCGAGGTTCCTTTTTAAGTGATACTGAATACCATTCAAACAAACTCAAGTTATCGATGGATGGAAATATTGTCATTGTGGCTGCTTTGTGATTGAAATTCTCTTCCACAAAGTTTTCTTTAAGCTTTCCAAATAAATTATTACTGTCTCTTTGCTCTATTTCCATTTCAAAGCTTTTATATGTATTCCACCATTTTTCTTTCTTTGTTAAAACACGTTGACAAAGTATGACTTTATCAACAGAAAATGCTGAAAATTTTGTGCCATCTGGACCAAATGGAAGTATACAACCAAGATTGCTTTCACATTTATGACATTTTATGCGTAACTTTTTGTTATCATAGAGCTCAAACAATTTTTTTTCTAACTTGATTAACTGATACATTTCAGGTTTAATAGACAAATGCACCTCTTTATCAGCTTTTTTAAAAAAGTTGGAAGAAGTAACCAAAGTTTCATTACATTTGAGGCAATTCATTTCACCTTGAATAGCAGAAAAAACTTCATTTAATTATGAAAAATGAGATATCGTGAAAGACTAATTTCTTGATAAATTTTATTGTTAGTATTGTTAAAAATCTTACTTTATTTGGTCAGCAAATTAATAATATATACTATAAATTACACATTACATATTTATCATTTAAGCATTCATTTTTTTTGAATAATTACTTTTAATAAATATCTACTCTTTTTTCTTAGACTGTTGATTAAGATTGACATAGTATGACATCATACAGAAACAACCATCTGTGAAGATTTTGAGTACATGCATCAACCAAAAATTTGGGTCTACATGTAAAGGATATTTGTTATGGAAAAAAAAAAAAATTATTTTGTCATTATTCTTTTTTATTCTCTTTTGTGTTTTATAAAAGGTGTCTGATATACAGTTGGCATTTCAAAAAATAAAGTAAACAAAATTATTGAATATAAAATATATGGAACATCAACAAATATGTATGCAGTGAAACCACTCACTTTAAACTTACCCCTCTCCCCAATCCTTTGTACTTTATAAATCAAATTATTAAAAACAATAAAAATCAAAACTTTATAAATTCATTCAAAGAGTTTTTTGGAGACATGTGTTTATAAACCTTTAACTCAATGGTATGTAACATACTTATTAATATGTTTAAACATATTGATAAATAAAATTGAAGCAGGCATTGCGCAATGATTAGAGCACTTGTTTCAGACTTAATGATTCTGAAACAAGCATAAGTATATGTATGTATGTATCTGAAACAAGTATAAGTATATGTATGTATGTATTGTGGGAGAAATTAGTCAGCATTTTATATTAGTTTCAGTTCAGGTTATTAGCAGGTGGACGATGCTTAGTGGACTTGTAGGTTTCCAGAGCTGGATCCTAAAATTCCTTTTGAAGAAGTGGAAAAGTGGATCAAGGGCAATTTAAGTCAAATATTTGATATATTTAGTATAAAAAATATCAGACTGATCAAGAACTTTGCTGGACGCTACAGGCCAGACATCATGAAACAGAACCGTGTGTTGATCCATATGTTTTTATTAACTATATTATTGAGGTTATTATTAAGAGAGTCGCTAAATACTTTTTTCGTTAATATACATATTTTAAAAAAAAAGTTTTACAGGTATTACTTTTACATGGATAAAAAAATATGTTTATGAGATTTTTAGTTAGGACTTTAGAGAATGGAAAAAACTTAATAGTTTTTTTGTACACCCTAATATACACCAACACCCTATTATACACCAATCATTGTACTAGTAGTTACTAGTTGAACTATGTATGTAAAAATTTCTCATTTTAGAATATTTAAATAATCTTTTAATATCATTTATGTTTGTTTTAGAAAATATGCCACTGAGTGTGTGTGTCTATATAGATGTTTATATAGAAAATATTAGTTCTAAAAAAAAGCATTTAACCGCACCTGTTGATTTTTTAAAGAAACAAATTATTATATAAAAATATTATTTAATTAAGAGACTTAAAATTAAATAGGATTTTAATAATTTAACTTCAAATGTAAAATTTAGTTTCACACACATGTATATATACATTTGTACATATATATATATATATATATATATATATATATATATATATATATATATATATATATATATATATATATATATATATATATATACTTTTTTTAAACATCTTTGCTTCCAAGGCTGCAAGCAACCACTAATTAGACTTAGGAGTTACAAGAAGAGAAAAGATGAAGATTGTAGAATAAGATAACGATTAACAGACGACTTAAAAGATTACAAATTATATGAATCAGGAAAGCAATATAAAGGAAGCGAATTCCAAAGAACTGATATTTGAGGAACAGTAACAGAAAAAGGATAAGACTTAATTTGAATGACGAGTAACATGAGAATGAATTTTTTGTAGATGGCGCAAGAGACGCAAGCTCTTTAGAGCAGTGCCCATTATAGTATTTGTAGAAAAGGAAAAAAGAAGCAACATTACGATGATGTGATAATGGTTGAAGGTTGGCTGCAAGAGCAGGTCCAACTATGTTTACAATGCGCTTTTGCAACTTGTCTAAAAGAGAAAGGACACCATTAGAAGATCTGCCCCAGATACGGCAACAGTACTCCATGCAAGGCCGAATTTGAGAATAATAGAGATAGAGGATAGAATCCTGAGTAAGATAGTGTCAAGCTTGATAAAGAGATGCAACCTTAACAGATGCTAATTTTGCAACGGATTTGATATATGGTTTCCAAAAATGATCGGAAGTAAGAGTTAATCCTAGAAGATGAAAAGTATATGACTCATCGAGTACATTATCGTTTATAAGTATAGGAAGATCTAAATTATTGTGATAATGATTGGCTGAAAAAAAATTGAGTTTTATCTTAATTAAAGTTTCCATTCTCCTATCACAGTAATTCTTTTATGTGAAGAATCTTTTTGTCATACATATGAAGGTAAAAAAAATTTGGAATATTCTTTTTGTTTAAAAGTTGGTTATTTCAAAACCTTCCTATGCCACTGTGTATCTGTGTGTGTTTGTGTGTGTGTGTGTGTCAATATATATATATATATATATATATATATATATATATATATATATATATATATATATATATATATATACATATATATATATATATATATATATATATATATATATATATATATATATATATATATATATATATATATATATATATATATATATATATATTTAAAAAATGATTAAAAACCAATCTTTAATTACTAATTAGAGATAATACAACATTAATTAAATTAGTATTTATAATAATCTAATTAATATTGTGTTATTTCTAAACATCAATTAGAAATTAAAATGCTATAGTTTGTCAACAATTCCAAATACAATGAAGTGATTAAAAAGCACTAATAAACAAGCATTTGTTTAGGTTAAGTATGCAGCTTGTTATTACTATTATTATAATATATATATATATATATATATATATATATATATATATATATATATATATATATATATATATATATATATATATATATATATATATATATATATATATATATATATATATATATATATATATATATATATATATATATATATATATATATATATATATATATATATATATATATATATATAAGAGAGAGAGAGCGATTTTTTTAGATTTTGTGCGCATATGTCATTTTGATAAGTTTTCTCTTGTAAAAAAATTGTAAAATACCTTATGTAGCCATATACAATTTAGAGTTTTTATTGCAGCCAAATAATATTTTTTTACGCCATATTTTTAGATATGAATAGAATTCCGAGAAATAACACTTTCTTAGAATAATCTGCGATGGAGAAAATGATTTGTGACGCAGACTGTGTAAATTAAATTAAAAAATCATTGTTCTAAAGGAAATGAAGAACTAAAGGTAAACCTAGGTAAATATGCGAAATTCTCAACAAGCACAATGTAATTTTATTTGCAGTAAATTACGGCAGTGAAGGATCCAGGAATTTTCGGTGTTTGAGATTCAAACATCAAAAATTCCTGGATCTGTCATTCCAAACATGGAGCTAACTCCAAACATTTGTATGTTTATACTTATGTCAAATAATGAGGCTTTACAAAAAATTGCAATGATTAGAGGTTAAGAACGAAAAAGCCCTTTGACTTTTATCATTTAAATTTTTAGCGCTTTTTTCATCAAAAATGTTACCTGCCTCTGAGAAGAAGCAAATAACATTAAGTCTTATTTTAAATGTTACTTAAATTTTAAATAATTTAAAAGCATAGGATGCCTAATATTGTAAATATTTTATTTTTAACCTAAATAGAAAAATAGAAAACAAAGAAATAATTTTAAATATAAATATTATGTAGGTTAACTTTCATTAAATAAAATTATAAGAAACAAATAAAAACAACATATTGGATTTCAATGAAAACAAGAACCAAATTAATGCAATAGGTTGTATAAATATTATAATATTTATATAACCTATTGCTTTATAAATTTATAATAATAACAATAGGTTGTATAAATATTATGACATTTATTTAACCTATTGCTTTGGTTATAAAAATATGCGATAACACGATGCTGAGGTGCAGGCTTTCATTTTCAATATTTATTAACAATTCCGGCAAATTCGGTTCCGGCCATTATTCTAAATTTCCGATCAGGTAGAGCCCTAGTTTTAATAAATCTATTTCGCGCGTTTAATCTTTTGCCAAATACTAATAATGTTTTTTATTAAGGTATACGCGATTGGCTAAGATAAGGACCCGGTCAGATATCAGTTTTACCTACAGTGGCTTATATCTGAACACATCCTTATTCCAACCGCTTTTCAGAAGCACTGAACTATTCTATGTAATAATTTGTTGAATAAGTAATAATTATTTTTAATAAACAATAATTATTTTTATTGAATAATCACTAACTTATTATATACTTCAGATGGTAAGTTGTACTATGTAACAGCGTCAAAAAACCTGCAAGTTCTATTTAATGACAATGAAAAAATGTTAGCCTTTAGAGATGTCCATGATTCTAATCATGGGGCTCATGTTGGCCGTAACAATACAAGAGCAAAATTAAAAGGTTCTTTCTACTGGCTAGGTAATATTATTGTCTTTTTATAATATTACTTTTTTAATTTCTATAAGGTTTTAAGCTCTTTTAAGTGTTATACCGTTCTTGAACTTAATTGCTAGGCAAATTAAATTAAAACATGAATTGATATCAATTCATGATATCAAAAGATAGAGTACAGCTCTATTTTTTTTAATTTGTTTATGTTTTGGTTCATGTCAAATTTTTGTTTTTGTTGAATTGTTAGGAATGGTTAATGACATTACCAAATGGGTTAAAGAATGTGACAAGTGTCAAAGAATGGAAAAAATAAGAACTGTTGCTCCCGAATTAAAACCTATCAAGGTTAATGGACTGTGGGATTTTTTAGGCATAGACCTAATCGGACCTCTTCCAATTACAAGCTTGGAAACAAATATATTTTAAC